CTACGTGGTGTATTAGTTATTAAATTTTATATAACTTCTGATTCGATATTATACCATTTCTGTTGTGTACTTTTCCATAACGCATGAATTCCCGAAGGGTACCATATTTTGCCAGCCTTCTTTTCACAACTGACAACTGTTTATCTTTGTTAAACGACTCTTTTCGAATCCTCTATTGTGTACTCTTTGTAGGTATGAACGAATTTCTTTCGTAATTTCACAGTTTTATTCAAAAGGGCTGGTTGCACATTAAGATAATATTATACTAAATATTTTGTATATTCCGAACGCAAGTGAAAATGAACTGTTACATACTGTTTATTAGATTCATCTTGTAATTATAATTATCTGATAATTATTGATCAATTGAACACCTAGTAAAATTATCGCTTCTTTTATCAGGCAAGCAATGTGCTTACATGTTTACATCTTTTGCTTCTGACTATATTTCTAAGGTTTCATCTTATGACTAGATAAATTGATAGAAATACAGAATCTACCTGTAGTTGATAGCAACATCATGACCAGCTTGAAGCGTCCGATTCTTCAATTCAGTAGTTTCGGCGCAGTTGTTAGCCGCGCTTTTGCAAATCTGCAACATATCGCTGATCGCCTTCCTTCCCATATTCGCCGCAGCGATTATGTCGTCCTGTTTGCAACTGTTCCCAGCTGCGACCGCCTTCGCGGTGGAAGTCGTAATGCTCTTAGTGCAACGGACGAGATCCTCGGGTGTCACGTTGGCTTTATGGATCTCAGGAGTGTTTAAGGAACGGATTTCCTGGGCGATAGCCTCGATGGTGGACTCCAGCGCTCTGGTGCCCCTGGTGTGTTCGTCTTCAACGGCTTTCACGGTCTTTAGAAGTGAAGTTACGTTGGTCACCATCACCTGAAGAAGATAAATAGAAAGATAGAAGTATCATTATTAGATCCTGCTTTTAACGCAACAATAATTTGTTACTTTTATGTGATTAATTAAGTTAGAATCATTGGACGAATGTCTACACGTCTCATATTGTTATAGTTATTG